TAAAAAAGATAAATAGGTAGGTAAGGTGCAAAGAGTTGTAGTTGCAAGATGGTGGTAATAGTACTGATGATATGATGGTAGTGTTATTGTTAACAGTATATAATAATAATAATAATAATAATAATAATAATAATAATAATAATAATATAATCGTAATTAATATAATAATAATATATTGTATAAAACTGTTTCTTAAAAAGAGTGGGAACACTGTTTTATTTTTGTATGTAAACCGTGAACTTGAATCATTTTATATTATTATTATTAGTTCATTTTTAATCTTTTCCTACTTTATTGGCCCTTTTAATGCTCTGTAATGGATGTAAGTACCACCAGTGTCCAGTAGGCGGCGTAGTCAGAAACTGACGCTGGTGCCACAGTTAAACTCTTCCGGGTTCTTCCTCTGCTGCGGCTGTAAACAATAACATGAAGTTGTGTCACTCCGTCGTATAACAGAAACTCCGGGTTTGTTGCCATGTTGTTTGTCCGGACCGCGGCTCTCAGCTGCAGAGCTCTGGCCGCTCTGCGCTGCCTGCCCGCCGGCTACACCGCCTCCAGAACCACCGCTACATACATCCAGGGCCAGAGCCCGGAACCGCGCATCAGAGAGTACTTCTACTACATTGACCACCAAGGACAGGTGAGTGTATGAAGTCACACAAATAAAAATATTAATATAAAGGTCATTCTGCTGGTTTAACATGTTTGTTTGTGCTCAACTTGCAGCTTTTCCTCGATGACACCAAAGTGAAGAACTTTGTCACCTGCTTCAAAGGTAAAAATGCATCTTTACCTGCAATGTGTGAAGTCTCAAACAGCCTGAAGGGTTTGAAGTCTGCATGTTTGCCATAAAACTTACCACAGTTATATAGAATAATATTATATATTATACAAAATTTGAGTGAAAAAACGGCATTGAAACTATACTGTGTGCTTACAAAACTAAAATAAGATACAAATATACAGGAAGGCTGCACAATTAATTGAGATATTATCCAAATCAAACGATACAAATACATCAAATTACATTATAATGAAGCTCTGTAGCTTTGACAGATGTAAGAAAATGTGTTTCTTTGGTACTACAGACTCCAACAGATGTCACATCATCATGATTTTAATAGTTTTTTTCAGTGGAAAGGAAAATTGTGACGTGAAAATGATAATTTCCACTAATCGTGAATCACAATATCTGATAAAATTCAAAATTTATCAACAAAACAAACATAAGGAGTTACTGGTGCATATGTTCATTGAGACTGGGATGCGTTAATGTGTTTGTATTGTGAACTTACTCCTGACAAATACTCCTTATTTGAATAAGAATAAGAAACTCAACTGAAACGAACAAACTCACTCTGGAAACCAACTGAAACTAAACTGGATTAACAAACAGAAATTTAAAACTAATACTAAACTATAATATATCTGGCAGCAACCTTGCATGTTAGTTTGAGAACAAAAAGAATCAGTAAAATATGGAAACATCGAAATGCTGTTTCATCCATTCATAGTGTGAAGACACGAGCCAGTGATCAGTGGCTTAGAAATAACTGACTGCTTTTAAAACACCACTGAACAGTTTTATACGTGTATTAAGCAAACAGTATAGTACGACGGCCTCGGGCTAAAATCAACCTCTCATCACTAAGTATTGTGTCTAGTAATCCTCTCCTGGAATATTAAGCATCAGGTTCACTGTGTGATAACTTAACTGCACCACATAATCATAATTAACCACCAGTAAATCAATATTATTAAGGCTTTAAAACTGCATTTGACACTCTCTAAAGATGAGGTTGTTGTCAATGAAAGACTAGAGCTGCAACTAGTGGTGATTAATCATTTCACTAAATGGATTAGAGTTGTTTGGTCCATAAAATGTCCCAAAGTCCAAGTTGATGTCTTGTAATAAAGAAATCAGAAAATATTCACATTAGAGAGGCTGAAATCAGAGAATTTGGACATTTTTTGTCTTGAGAAATGACTCAAAACGATGAATAGATTATCAAAATACTTGGTGATTAATGTATTAGTTGACAGCTAATCGACTAATCGTTGCAGCTCTGTCTCTGTCTGTGGCTCTCAGCTTGGTTGCTGACAGAAGACAGAAATCTTGGTGTATAATCCCAAACAAATATCTGATTGTCTGTTGTTGCTCAGCAGCTCCTCTTCATCCCTGTTTCTTTATCACCAGACAAAAAGTTCCTGGTCTTCTTCTTCAGTCGACTGCGTTCCAATCAGAGCGGCCGTTACGAGGAGGACTTCCCCTACTTGTCCCTGTGCGGCAGGGAGAGGAACTTCCTGCGCTGCGACGACCGTCCCGTGGTCTTCACCCACCTGCTGGGAGATCAGGAGCTGCTGTCGTACTGCGGCGGGGCGGAGCAGCTGTCCGTCCCGTTCCTCCCAGAGGCGCTGTACATGCATCCCGTCAGCGGGCGGGTTTACCACCCCTGCTCAGAGCGAGGAGGCGGGGTCGGCCTGGTCAGGTCGGCCCTGGCCATCGAGCTCAGCCCGTTCTTCGTTTACGCTGAGGGGGACGGCCAATCGGGACAGCCCACGCACTTTCTCTGGGGGGGACAGAAGCACACGCTGACCAATGAGCTCGCAGGATGCTTCCCCACTGCGGCGGAGGGCGGCGAGCAGCAGGGAGAACCGGGATAATGACCACCACTGAACAGATCCTGTGATGTGTCTCACACTGGCAGTGAGGACAGACGAGTGCTTTAGAGTTGTTCCGAAGCCGATGCCGGTATTGGAAGCTCCTCTGACTGAAACGTTGTCTGTGCACCGACCCGATATCACGTAATTTATGAGCCCCGAAACAGGACCCTGCTACTTCCCAGCACTGTCCCTCACAGGCTTAGTAACCTACGGTTGTTAATACGGATCGGTACTCAGCCACGATGATACACTAAGTTTTGGTATCAGGAAGGAAACAATGGTATCAGATCATCTCTACTCCTGTTTGAAGCCTGGGCCGATGTGTCCTCCTGTCCTAAAGCAGTTGTTCCCAACTGTCTTGTCTACTTACGACCTCTCATTACAAGTTGCACTTTAAACAAGGTTCTCCTTTAGATTCCCTGGATTGATCTGAATCATATTTATGGTCCCGAAGAGGTGTAGCTATAAAGTTTATCACAATAAAAAAGCAAAGATTAGAGAAAAGTCTGAAATGATGAACACATTACCATCCTGACCACCAGGTTGCAAAGTGTAAACATAAAGTGGTTGAGAGACAGTAGAGCCTGTTGCTCTAAACACACCGTGACTCATTGTGATCAGATAATCCAAACCCTGCCCGAGGAACTCTTTTGTAGTATAAATGCGTTCGATTACCTGCAAAGATAAGCAGCAGGTGTTTGTGAACACACTGTTTCAACTAATATCCCCAGACTCTTAAAGAATCACACAGGTTTGAGAGTTACTGAGTGAGGAGAAACTTTATACACTTTGTGAGACGCTGTCTGCTACAGATTCTTTATCATTTAGGCCTTCTTGTAAATTCGGCAAACGTTACACATGAAGTCATTTCTCTTCTCGTCTGTTGTCCCGGCGTGATGGTGGAACCTCCTCTGCTGCCGTCCACCGTGAGGCTGATTGAATTCATTGGTGGCACCGTGTCTGCAGGGTTTAAAGATAACATTCAGTCACTAATCAGATTCTTGAAATCTTAACTGAAAGTAAGCAGAAGGTAATTACAGCAGGTTGGTTTAAGAGGAGAGAGCAGTTACTGCATAATGAGTTGAGATGTTTATACAGGAATAGAACTAGATTAATAATACACGTTATTGGTTCCTCCACTAGGGGTCACCAAAGCTTCACTGGGGGCTTCATTCTTGTTTTTAAGGGGTGTAAGAAAACAGGAGGCCTTTATCGTAACATTTCATTCATTTTTTGTGAAGAAAACCGAATTTAAATTGTTGTTTTAAAGTCTGGATAATTAAAATATCCATTCAGGGGTCGTCAGTTTACTCAGGAGAAAGGTTGGAAACCACTGAGATATATCATATTTATAGAAACACAACTATAGTGTTTCCTTTACTAAATACACAGAAGAGTGAAATACAGAGTTCGGCCTTTCAATAGTAAAAGGTAAAGTAATTGATAACTCTTTCTGGAAAACAAAAAACAAAACTCATAACAAGAATATACTGAATGTGAGATTGTTCTTGAATAAAAAAATATTCTGAATATTGTTTGTTCTGTCGCTTTATTGACCTTTAGTATATTTACTCAAATATTGTACTCATTTATACTTTTACTGCACTACATTTATCAGATTGACACATCAGCTCATGATTGTTTAAATGATCCAACTAATTCACCTCTTAACTAAATTAACTTCACAAAGACATTTTCTGCAAGTGGTGGAATGTAACTCAGTACATTTACTACATTAAGTATATTAAGTACTGAGAAAAATGTGAGTACTTTCCATAAGTCTTTTAATGTTATACCACCTTATACTTGTACTCCCCCACATCTCAGAGGCAAATATTGAACGACAGCTTTAGTTAAATTCAGTTCAGAATACTCTGTTCATCTCTCAAGTGAGTGTGCAAACAGAAGCACACACAGACATTTACATACTTCAGCTAATCTGTAAAGCGAGTATGGCATATGTTAGAAGATACACAAGGGTTAGGATCAAGTGCAGATGCATCTGTCTATAAAGAAAACTGAACATTTCTTGTACTGGGACTGTTTATGAGTCACAGTTCTCAGATTATAATTGTTCCTCCTCTTCCTGTCAAATGACCACAGTTTATCTCCAAATCTGGTGATTCTGAATTGTTCATAGGACACAACTCCTATTTAACTTTTGAATATATTTGTGACAATATTAAAAAGTTAAATGGGAATTTCGTCCTAGTATTTCGTTTTATGATTTAACACATTCAGGATCCAGCACCCAGTCTTTACAGTCTTAATAAACTTAAATAAACTGTTTAAAACTCCCCTTTTTATGAGTTTATGAAGATGTTTTAGAGATAGTTTCTCCCACAGGACAGCCACTGCTGATTAAAGTACACAACAGTGTATAAAGTAGTTGTGTTTCTTCTTGTTCCTACAGTGTGATGTTTGAATAATGTCTGTGCAGAGTTTAATACTAGAAGGATGTTTTCATTCATCTGCTGACAGAAATGTGCTCACAGAAAATCCGACTGTAATGAGGTAGAATGAGTAGATGACTTTTTAAGGATTTTAATGTGGAAATTATAGTTAAAAATATAAGAATATATGTCTTCATACACGTCTGGAGGGGATCTACAGCAGTCAAATGCAACAAACACTTCAAGTACATTTAGCTGATAATACTTTACTTAAGTAAGGATTTGAATGCATTAGTGGAGTATGTCCACAGTGTGGTAGTATTTGTGCTTATGTAAAGGAACTCTTCCTCCTCCCCCATCACAAGACAACATGAGCATCTGTCCCTGGAGAAAGGTAAAAGTAATTGGATTACAAATGAAGTGTGGATCTGAAACTGGAACTGCAGCTCCAGCACCCCCCCACCCCCTCTCTCTCTCTCTCTCTGCTCCTGTGGGGGAGTTTGTCTTCTCTCCCAGTAGGTGAAGGCAGTCAGTGGGGGGGCGTTTGGAGAACTGCACAAGTTCCCAAGAGAATCTCGGCATCAACGTAGAACACTGGAAACAAGGGCTTGAATAACATGTCAGGCGCCGTCCAGGACAGTAACACATGCGGGTCATGGAGCGGTCTATCCGGTGGAGAGCGGTGCCGCCGCTGCTCACGGACCTGTACCAGTCACCATGGACGTACGCGTACTGGCGGGGGCCGGCCCGGCACCAGGAGCCCGCGCCTTCGAGCTCTTCATTCAGGGAAACCGTTTCGGCGCGGCTTCTCGCCTGTTCGCCACTGCACGGACTTGCCTGCTGTTCGTTGCGCAGCTTTCGCTTCACAGACGAAGGTGATGAGTCCTAAGTTCTCGCTATTTTAACACCAGCAGAAAGCTCTTAAATCTTTTATTTTTCATCAGGCCAACTTGACATTGTTTGACTCCGAACTCCTTTTACGCATTCCGGCCCGTGCTTGTGCAATACTCCACCGCGCAACCTCCGGAAAGAGTTCAGTGAGAAAACGTGAGTGCCGGAGGAGTATTTCAGCGAACTTTGACGTTTAGTAGTGAACTTCAGCACTCAGGGAATAATCCGTAATCTCCTGTGTGCTGTAAGGATCAACACATGGAGCAACACGGCACACACTGCGTACCGAGGAGGTTTGATACAGCAGCTCAAGTTCATACAGCTGCATGGCACAGAGGGTTGTAACAGTGCAACAGGTTGGAAACACTTGTTTTAAACAGTTGTTATGACCAGTGCTGGGCTAGTTATTTACTTTAGTTACACTACTAGTTACATTACTTTTCTGCTGCTCCTCTCACAGTTGGTTCCCCTTCTCCCCTAAAATAAAGACCTTTAAAGTCGACTAAAATCCAGTTTTGTTTGTTCTTCCGAACTAGTTTCCTCCAATATTACAGAAATTAATCCAAGGATGTGATTGCAAAAAGTAATGTTGTAACTAATTATTCTTTGGAGGGGTAAGTAACTAGTTACTGGGGGAAGTAATATTATTACTATTAATGAGTTACTGCCCGACACATTATGTGCAGAATTATCTTTTATAATAAATGTTTTGTATATTGAATGTACAGATTATCAGTTATCACATACATGAAGTGCAGTAATAAATTACATTTGCCTCAGAAATTAGGTAAAGTTAAAAGTATAAAGCTACAAAAACTGCAAATACTCAACTACCTCCACGAAATAGCAGTGTATAAATTCCACGTTAAAATCATTTAAAAGACATCTACTCATTCAAAAGTCCCAGAATCATTAAATATGTAAATGTTTTCCTGGTGGACACGAGATGTCTCCTCCTTCACTGTAAAGTCCATCCTCAGTGTCTGTGCACTGGTGGCTTCATGTTTCTACACTTGTATAAATTACATAGGCCTACTGGACCAGGACTGACCTCTAAACTATTTGTTATGTCACAAACCATGCTCATAGGCCCCGCCCCCTTAAAATCAGATTCTCAATGAGCTCAGAGAAACTTTCCACTCTCAGCAGATGAATGTGAAAACATCCTTCTAGTGTCAAACTCTGTACAGACATCATTCAAACATCACACTGTGGGAACACACACACCGTTCCCAGTGTTATACTGTGGAATATATTATATCATGTTATATCAGATCATTGTTAGTGATGTTGTAGCTGGTTGAGGTGGAGCTCATTTAACAACTTTATAAACAGCTGCTGGTTATTCACGCTTCATAAACGGTATGTTTTATATGTAAAATCTTCACCAGAAGAGTAAATAGTAACTGCATCTGTCCAATAAATATAGTGGAGAACAAACATGAACATTATATGTACAGAAACAGTGAAAGGCTACTGATCCATCAGTGTTATTAATCTAATAACTTAATGTATAATATATCCCTGAGGGGACATTTCTCTGCAGACTGAGTACCATTGCTTTGAGTACTTTTACTTTTCAATGAAGGACTTTTACTTCTAATGGAGTATAAAAACAGTTTTATTGGTATTTTTCCTAAATGAAGGGATCTTAAGATACTCAAGTAAAGTAAAGACTCTTGAAATTTAGTCTAAAATACAATCATAGGCCTTAAAATGTCTTAAATATGAATTTGACATTACTTCTATGATGGCATTGTTCGTGTTTTGAGGCAAAATTTGTATTGATCATCCAACAACTACACAATGAGACCAACATGGAACCAATATCGATTTTCCTTCAAATCCCTCGTACTTTTTTTGGCAGTATGGAAGTAAAATAAGCTTTAAATTGCATTCGTAAAGTTCTTTAAAGTCTTAAAAAGAAACCCTGAAACTAAACTGTACTTCAGTTAAGTAATAAGTTACTTTCCAGAATTGTATTCAGCAAGTTGTCATGGGCACGCTCATGTTTAGTCTAAACTTTATCACAGTCACACCGGAGCAGTCTGTTGGTAGCTGTCGGATTAGATTAACTGTCCACAAAGTTATTAGATTTAGCTCTTAATGTGTGTGTGTGTGTGTGTGTGTGTGGAGCCATGTGAGGAAGGGGGGAGAGGGGAGGATTGTGTAAGAGCACATGTGTTGTAGGTTGAAGGATGCCCTCTGTTGTTGGGCTCGCTGACAGCGTTCCAGCTGTTAACTCTGTGTTTTTGTGGATCCAGATGTGGAGTTCCTGCGCTCCGTCCTGCCCCCGGCCACCGAACACGCCTTCTTCCAGTTCCTGCGGGGCCTCGACTGCTCGGGCGTCACGCTCCGCTCCGTCCCAGAGGGCACGGTGGTGTTTGCCAGGGTGAGCTGTAGGGCTGAAGGTCAAAGTTCAAGGGCGCTGTGTGTAGGGAGTGGGTGGAGGAACCTGAGCAAGTACTTGTATTGGTTCAACCAACTATTTGTATCCTTACTTTGGACAAGCAAGGCTTAAACCGTATATGGGCGTGGCTTAAACAGTCTATGGGCGTGGCTAACAGATGTTCATTTTAGCCTGAAATTGATATGATTTGATCAGAAGTTGAACAGAAAACTATTCACAGAACAGCCTCAGAATTGATCTTCAGACAACGTTTTGATCCCAGTAGTAAGAGAGCTACTTACAGAACAAGTTTATTTTACTAATGTTGGTATATTTACACATATTGACACATTTTACGCTTACATCTGTACTGGGATAATCGTTTTAGCTGAGATATTGCTCATCCCTGCTGTGCTATGTGTCTTAAACATCTGCAGGTGCCTCTGATGGAGGTGGCAGGTCCGCTGGCTGTGGTTCAGCTGCTGGAGACCAGTTTACTGTGTCTGGTCAACTACGCCAGGTAACAGGATTCAGATTCAAGGTTGTTTTACATCACAGGGTTGTGGAATGAAATGTACATATAGTTCCCTTTATGCTACTTTTGAAAAAGAAAAAGATTAAATAATCATAAATAAAAATACTAAATTGTACTGTTAAATTCTTTTAATTTAATTGTGACATTTTCGGGACCGTTGTTGAATGTTATCACTCTCTCTCCTGTTGTCTAACTTTACTGTACGCTGTCCATGCTGTAGAAAATGATCTTAAAAATCAATTATCAATTAACAAAAATATTAAACAAACAAAAGTAGAACATTTTAAGTGTGTAAGAGAAACTACGGTGGGTGCAAAACTTGCGGAAAGCACAAAAGGCTAGATTTGAATCCTTAGGTCGACTAATCAATAAACTGAAATCATTTTAGCTCCCTACATTTGGTATTTCATGGTCCAAAGCTACTGTTGGACTCATGTCCTTCCTTTGTAATGGAGTATTTTTACCATTGGTGTTGTTTTCACCTGTGAGTCTGTGTTTGTGCTCCTGGAGGCTGAGTACCACTGAGGTCATGGTCTGTACTTTGGCAGGTGTTAATTGTCTGTTGACAGATCTTGAGTTCGAAGATGGGTGTGGTCTGACCGAACAGTACTCAGCAGTTATTACTACATTATGATACAACAGTGAAGTGAAACCGACTGTAAAGTGTCTTAAACCTGCATTCTATGTATTGACCAGCAGGGGGCAGCTCCACTGGCTGCAATAAAACACTGATACCATTCAGTCTTACGGAGAAAATGAGCTGACTTCTCACTTTATGAGCTCAGTAAACAGTTTTCTAATGAGTTTATGGTCTCAATCTCTGGTTTCATACAGCATGATGTTCATTTAGTAAATGATGGTCATAAAATAAATGACCTCTTGTGTTGATGTTGCTCAGTGTAAGTATCATATACTATAGCAAGAAGCAAATGCAAAAAATGTCCATGCACTACTGTTATACAGTGTGTAAAAAGTGTTTTTCTACATATGAAGAATGCACATTTAAAGAGGTTTTTAAAGAAGGGAATTCAGTATGAACCTATGTGTATGAAATAAAGTTAAACTGAATCAAATATATTAGGTTTTCTCAAAATTAAAGACCCACATTAAAGTTACAGCTGTGCCGTATTTCACATTGGCTTCAATCCTGACTCAGCTTTCAGCCCAGACTGTGCATTTTATAACACTGTATAAAAAGTTTGGCTCCAGACGCACAACAGCCTGTTTCAGTTCTGCCTTTCCTCTGTTTTCCAGTCTGGTGTGCAGTAACGCTGCCCGCTTCCGCCTGGCAGCCGGCCCCAGGAGGAAGCTGCTGGAAATGGGCCTCCGGAGGGCTCAGGGACCAGATGGGGGGCTCACCGCCTCACGATACACACACATTGGAGGTGAATGCTGAGTGGTCTGTCAAACAGTCATGTTCTTTCCACACATTTGTGGTTGTGTGAGCTACAAGTAGCTAATCATTTTATATGGTACATGTTCCCTTGTGGTGACGGGTTTAAGCTTTCCAAATTCCCCAAAATGAACTGCATTCAGGTGTGTTTCCTCAGGCTGAGTTTGTCCTGAATTTGCACATTGATAATGTCGAACCCACCCACAGACTGACACTGCAATCTGCCCTCTAGGGTTTGATCTCACCAGCAACGTTCAGGCTGGTTTCCTGTTTGGGGTCCCCGTCGCAGGGACCATGGCGCACTCATACGTCACTTCCTTTACCTCCCTGGAGGAGGTCTGGCCACAAGTGAGTATGTGTTCTCTCCTCCAGTCATCCTTAGAAGACTGGACCAGCGGTTTGTGCACATTATTAGCAATCATTATCCACCACCGTGAACATTTTACCGCCTTTATGCCTTTATCAGTTATGTTGTCATGTTATTGTAGGAGAAACTACCACAGAGAACTGGAACCGGAGGCAGGATGAAGACAAGATAAAAACTAAGAATAATAAAAGGATATAGCAAGTAATAAAACAGATAAAAATGTGTAAATAAGTAGACAAAGTAAACAGTGTAATAAAAAAGACTAAAATATATATATATAAACACACCAGAAAAAGAAAGCAATAAAACAGATTTTTTTTAAATAAATGAATAATAGAAATAAAAACAAAAATAAGTAAATAAAAATCTATTGAAACCCAGACTAAATAGGTGGGTCTTTAACACTTTCTGCTGCCCCCATGTGCAGCCGTGCAGTCCGGTAAACATTCGTTGGTGGGAAACCAGTGAGGGATTACGTCCTTGTGACTCCTACAGTTCGACTGGTTGGGGCACCTCCAGAGAGGCTGGTGGGACCTGCAACCAGCAGAGAACAGCGTCACAAACCCATCTGGGGATGTTTTTATAACGTCTGTGAATTAATTTTGACCAGTTTGAGTTTTATTTTGTTTGCGCCCACTTTGAATGATATCACAATGTCACGATGAACCTGTGAGGTAAAATGACTGTTTTTGGCTATGGAGTCTGGTGGTGAGTGACAGCGATGAAACAGCTGTTTCTGATCTTACTGTTTAACAAAAGGGTCTGTCTCTGCAGGAATCACTTTGATAATGTCACACACTTATAAAACAATCACTGTTAGTGTTAGAAACACCACGTGTTGCCAACAGTGGATGAGGACCAGGAAACTGGCTGGGGGAACATTTGTCATTGATAAGAACTGCAGTTTTAATTATACTGTTAATATATATAATATAATATATACTGTATAACTCTCTACGTTGGCGCATTCAAAGACACTTTGAGAGTTTACTGCTCAGCTTTCTTCCCAATGTTTATTTCCATTCTCCGTTTCCACTCAGACTCTCGTGGCAGTAAACGGGGCCCCCGATCCAGTCGACTTCATCTCGTTGACGAAGGGCTGGTTGACTCGTGTGTGTGAGCTTCTGCGGGCGGAGCACGGGAAGATCCGTGAGGGCGAGTTGGCCGCCTTTCTGTCCTACGCCATCGCCTACCCTCAGAACTTCCTCCCTGTGATCGACAGCTACAGTGTTGGCTGGTAAGTAGCGATGTTACGTTTGATACTGAAGATGTATTAAGGCTTTTATCATGTGAACAAACATCTGCCCGACTTAGATGTTTTATAACCACTAACAGTGTATAAAGTTGTTAAAACTAGCTCCTCCACATGCTTCAGTATTAATGTAATAATTTAATGTATTGCACTATATCAGCCAACGGTGCTGATTATTCCTTCTACTTTTAATACTTAAAGTGAACTTTATTTTGATGCTGATACTTTTGAACACTTCTAACAGAGTATTTCTACACTGTGGTTTTGCTTTACTAAAGTAAATTATATGAGTACTTCTTCCACCACAGCAGCAGCAGCACACGAGTTTTAGGATTTTGCTGCACTAGATTGATTCTACCAGCAGGTGTCACTAGTGCACACTGAGTTAAATCAAGTTTGGAGCAACGAGTCTATTAGTGACACAGTTTGTTGGAAGGTTTTAGTTCTTCAGAGATCCTAATTTCATCATCACTATTCATAAATGAACCAACGCGTTTCACAGTGTCCAAGCTATAAAGTCTGTGAACTCCGACTGAGGCTGCAATTTGATCATTATTCTTTTAATCAATAACAGGAAATGTTTTATTAAAGGTTTTATATTCTAAATTCACTTCCCACTCGATGTCACACCAGAGAATCAGCATCTCAGACCAAAACAATGCTACGGCCAACCAGACCCCATTAATAAAACCAATAATTTTACCTTGCTAATCATAAAACACACTTCAACCTGGACAGAAACAACAGCAAAAACTCTCAAAATAATCTTAATTAGAGTTAACGTTAATCCACAAGGACAAATGCTAAGTTCCTGTTTCTGCCACTGACAGACTCAGATTGTTATTGTCAGTGTCTGACAGCATTACGGAAAGGATCCCTACAGAGATAGACCTTCAGTTTAACCATAAACAGCCGTAATATCACTATCACTCTCCACCAGACTCCAGAGACAAAAACACTCTTTGGTGGAAATAAATCCTATATTGTGCTATATGCTATATTAATGTTTTAAATCTCAAATATATAACCTTTAATATCATATATATCGTATGCTGAATTGTGTGTGTGTGTGTGTGTGTGTGTGGTTTCAGTAGCGGTCTGTTGAACTTCTGCGCTGTGGCCTTGGCGCTGTGTGAACTGGGCTACCGGCCTGTAGGAGTTCGTCTGGACAGCGGGGACCTGTGCAGGCAGTCGGTTGATGTCCGTCGTGTCTTCAGACTCTGCAGCGAGCAGTGAGTGAGGTGCCACGCTGCTTGTGTGTGTGTGCATCAGCACGTCTTTAAAAGCTACAGCGAGAACATTTGTCCGGTTCTAATCTCCCTGTCTGCAGGTTCTCCATCTCCGCCTTCGATTCACTGATCATCGTTGGGACCAATAACATCTCAGAGCAGAGCATGGCTGAGCTTAACAAGAAGGTAGATTGTTTATGATGAACAAGAAGCTCATTTGTATTGTCTGCCATCTTTCCTGTCTTTATGGACGTTCTGTGTTGTTTCAGGAGAATGAGATCGATGTGGTCGGTGTTGGGACGCATCTGGTCACCTGCACCAAACAGCCCTCGCTGGGCTGCGTTTATAAGGTAACGATTAAGATAAAAAGTGCAATTAATTGCCTGTCCAAGTGCCCTGGTCTCATGTTAACATCTGTGTGGTGCCATTGTTGTGTGTGTGTGTTAGCTGGTGGAGGTGAGGGGGAGGCCCAGAATGAAGATCAGCGAGGACCCAGAGAAGAGCACCGTCCCCGGGAGGAAACATGTCTACAGGCTGATAGACGCAGAAGGTGAGAACTCATCCTCACTACTTAAACGCTTATTTCTCTCTCTGTTTTTCTGTCACTATCTTACTTTAAGGCGAAAACACACCGGTGGTGCATGCTAACAGAGGTTTGGTGATATGCCAAAAAACTTTTATTTAAATTAAATTATAGTCATTATGTAATAACACTAACGGCATTGAACTGCATCTTTTTGATAAGTTACAGTTTAGTGACAAACAAGAGTTTGAGCTTCACTAAGAATCTAAATTCAGTGTACGGTTGCACTGAAAACAGGAATATTGAATACAAAATGTTATTTATCGAACTTACATTTACATTTTTATTGAACTCTTCTTATTGAATAATTAACACAAACATTTATAAAAATGTTATGTACCCCTGCAGTACTCCAAAGTACCCCTAGAGGTACACATACTCCAGTTTGGGAAACACTTTTTAACCATTGTTGGCAAAATCTAATTCAATGAGTGGGACTGCTTCATGGCAATATTAACATTAATGAATGATCTTTGCAGATGAGATGAAGTACCTTGATTTTTGTAGCTGAATTACCCCAAAACAGAAATCAAATCTGCTTATTTCATCTATTAACAATTTTCAGTTGTTTTTATAGACAACAAAGAGGCCCAAATGTCCTAAAAAAGTCACAGTTCGCTAAATAAATCCTTTGGATTTAGGTAACACAATAGCCTTTCTACTGGCACCACCCTCATCAAAATGTTTCCATTATTTTCTTTACAAGTGGTAAGAGACTGTGAGAATAGAAATGTCTTTCTTCCATCCAACGGTTTGGTGTCCTCTTGGTGCCTCCCGCGGCTGCTGTTGAGTCTGTAAACGTTTTCACAGCTTCCCTCCCTTCACTCCTCTGCAGGCCATCCTTTCCTGGACCTGCAGTGTCTCGCCGTAGAGTCTCCTCCAGAGGCAGGAGTCTCTCTGAGTTGTTACCCTCTGGGGTGTGATAACTCCTCTGTCTCCGTCACTCCAGCTCAGGTCATCTGCCTGCGCCAGGAAGTGTTTACTAAAGGACAGGTGAGGCCGGAGCGCGCCACGTCGTTTCCTTTCTGTCATCTCGTCCATATTTTCGGGTTTTCCTCTGAGAAAAGTCTGGTGAATTTTACACCAGAAGTGGACTGGAAGTCTGGATAGAGTGTGGACTTATTGGACACACTGGACTTCATGGGGAGGACACACCCATAAAGTCTGCAATTTGAATTCAGCCTCTTTCTCTCTCTACGCTTGTAAGACACATCACAAAGCAGCGAGTTCAGGGATGTTCAGGATAAAGTAAAGTTATCAAAAATAACAGCAATAAGATCTATTATCCTGCTTCTGAAACCTTGAGGATCACATTTAAATACTATTTTTAATGATAAAGTAAGTTTTGGAAGGCGTTGAACAGTAGAAAATAAGACAATACTGCAGGAGTGTGTAGGAGTTAAGTGTTTCTGAATGTGTCTCCCACTGTTTCTAGGTCACACACCCTCTGTGCAGCGCTGCAGAAACTAGAGCAAAGGTCCAGAGCTCCCTCCAGACTCTGCACCCTCGACACAAGAGGCTGCAGGAGCCAGACTCTTACACAGTGAGTGTCGCACACAGAATTTGCACCAAAATCTGTACAGGATGCATTAAACACAGAGGCCCAACCTCACAAACTCTTCTTCTCTCCCACCAGGTGGCGCTGTCAGAGAAACTCCATAACCTGGTCACAGAGATTCGAAGAGGAAACTCCAACAACAGCAACTTTCTCCTGGCCAACTAAAGAGAATCCTTCTTCTGTGGTCATCTCCTGTTTTTATTTTTATTGAAACTCTTTTCAAAAGTGCCTCTCTGACAGTGTTAACACCGCACTGTGCTGCAGCCTGCCTCAATCAAAGCTAATGTCTATAGAGTTAGGTCCAGTGTTTAACATTGAGGAGGATCTGTTGGCAAAAATGGAATTTAATACCCATAGGTATGTTTTCATGTGGTTGTACTACTACACCGTGATAATTATAAATTCGTGTGTGTTTTCGTTAGACCTTGAGAGGATGAGACTTTTTAAGGGAGCGGCGCGTCTCTTCCACGGAGGCAGCCATGTTGAACATACTAACCGTAGTTTCTCGTAAACACTTCACAGCCCGTTCTCCTCCCCAGGTCGTTAAACACAGACGCCAGCGGTGTTCAGTTCAGATGCCACAAAATTCTACACACTAGTCCTTTAAATGAACAGAACTTTAGGGGGTTTTACTTTGGAAATCCCACATGGAAGCAAATGAGAACGGAGTGTCTGTCTAACTTTAAGATCCCCTCCAGACATATATTAATACATATATTAACACATATATACAAATAGTCTGATTGGAACAATAATGTGTGTCTGATTTGTTTCTTCCGGGCGTCCCGGTAGAGCTGGTGCACCGAGGCTGCAGCGACCTTTGCTGTGTGTCATCACCTCTCTCCCTCCCAAAGACAAATCATACTATAAAAGTATAATTTCCATATCAAAAAGTCATCTCCTCCTTCTACCTCATTACGAATCCCAGAATCTCTGAATATGTAAATGTTCAATGTTCAAGTTTTCCTGCTGGACACAACATGTCTCCATCCTCAGTGTAAGTCCATCCTCAGTGTGTGTGCACTGGTGGATCTCACTGTAGAAGTTGCTCACTTGATGGTTTCAACAAGCGAGCAGTTAAAAGTGATGGATGATGTAACAGTCGGTCACTCTCTTTGCTGACGGAGCGACGTGGACGTTTAAATAAGCTATTAAAGGGTCCTGACCTTTTGTTCTCTCTCTCCTTTGTTCAGTTTATGTCTGTGATCCAATTGTCTCACTTCTAAAAATGATTTTCTTTCAAAGATTCCTTCATTACTCAAAAACTTACTTCAAAATATATTATCTTATTTATTTATTCATTTTCTAACTTTCACCAAACAAAACATAAACCAACAGAATATCATTTAAAAATCATCACTATCACATATAACTTAGAGACAGAGGCTTTGAGTTCATATAAAGTATCATGCTATCAACTCTCCAGGTGCATTTTTGTGTGTTTAAAAACATCTTTCAGTTCATGTTCAGGCCATGATTTGAGTTTTAAAGTCTGCTGCAGAAGACAAAAACATCCTGACTGTGTGCAGTTGTTCTGTGTGTGATATTTGTTTATAACATGTAAAAAAAAAAGAATTTAAAATCCCATTACAAGTTCTCATAGACAAAATTATAATTCTTTATTTTTTTGAAAATCAGTCCAAAACTTCCATCTTTTTTTAATTTTGTTTTCTTCATAAATGACTAAAACGGTTTTTGTCCAACAACTCATCAATAGACTGTAATGTTTCCCTCTGAAATGATGTGGAGAAGAAATATAAAGTAGTAGAAACTGGAAACACCATCTAAGTCTCTCACACACTTAAATCCTTTTATACTTTTGGAGAAATGTCCTCCTGATGAGTAGGAAACCGTCCTCCTGAAGCTCAGAGGGATTCAAACTCACAATCTCTCTGTTCCAGGTGTGTTTTCTTGCAGCCATAAGACAGAAACAGCCTGACAGTGAGCAGTATTTACTCCTGTTCGTGTCCAATCATTCCCTCCTCTTCATCCTCTGATGAAGAACTCTTTCCTGCAATGGTCCCCCCCCCCCCCCCTCAGGCCTCCCCGCTCCGGACATATGAGAGACATTCTCCTCGGCCCGTGATTGGCGCCTGCTGCCGGGCGGCAGTACAGCCCCTGCACAACAACATCGGACCCATTAGACCACGTGACGGGCTGGTGAGTCATCCATCGCCGCGGTGGTCGAACGCTGCGGTTGAATCCACACTCAGGCCAGATTTGGATCTCTGCTCAGCTTTTATTTACTTCTACTCGCGCCGAGCCAAATCTGTTTATGGATCTCGGCACACTCTGTGGACTTCAACCTCGCCAAACTTCAGACGCTTGTCTGTCTTCATCCCGACTTCCTGTCCACGGGCCAGACCTCGTATGCGTACAGATGTGGTCTGATTCTGAACTGTTTGTGATGGACTGACTGAAATTCATTCAACCTCGTCACCCACCTTCTGGACTGTCTCCGTTCTCTGTCCTCCTCTCTCCGATAGAACTCGAACTGAAACTACGAGAGACATCGAGGGTGAGCGTTTGTTTTACAGTGACAGGTTTGTTTACAAAATCAACCAGAAAACACACAAGTATGATCATACAATGTAAAACAGTCTACAACGACGTAATGTCAGTGGAGCTTACTGTCAACATTATGTAAATGTATGGTCTCAAGGTAAGAACATTTCATTTAATTGATTAGATACCAAATGGCTCAACAATTGTTTTTGATGGAGTTGTGTTGACAGGAAATAATGAGGTAGCCTAATCAATATGTGGTAATTAATAATACATTTGATTGTAAGAAGGGAACTCCGCTGTATTCCCCACATTTGTTGAACCATAAATTTCATTAGAAGTTGCCACAACTGCAAAAAGATGTGAGGAAACTGTGTCTTTTGTTGAGTCGAACATTTGATTTTTAGAGTGACGAATTTTTACACAATTAGCCCAATAGAAACCAGTAAAGATTCAAAGCATATTAAAATCTTTCTGATTTAGAGTTTGAGGAAATATTAGGAAAAATGCTACAATAAAATGAGTTTGTGTGAAAGAGGAGAAGTAGAGACGTTGTGGTGGGCAGAAGATCATTTTATGATGCAAATACCAACAACGGATATGTAAAATGATGTAAAATGATAAGGGGTATCTGAGTTTGCTAAACGTTCCAGTCTCAACCGTCGACCTAACATGAAGAGACAAACAGAAGAGATCTGATAACTAGTGAAGAAGCCATCTAGTGGATTCAATAAATAAAGAAGAGACAGGTCAGTAAATAGAAGCCAGCTTCATAGAGTCAGTCGTGCAAGCTGCAAGGACAACAGACAAACACTGATGAATCATTGCTAGAAATTTGAGTGCAATCATTCTTGTACGATTACAGATACATAAGCAACACAGGATATAGTAGTTGGCTTAGTTAATCCAGAAACCACAGAGATATGAACTAATGAAACTGCTGACAGGACATTTGCTATTTCTATTTATATCTGTGAGATAAAATGTTAAGTATATAATGATCCCTGTGGAAATTCGAGATGATCAATGCAACTTCATACTCTTATACTGAGCACGGAGTATTTTTCACCAGTTTAGTTATACTTATAACTAATTATTTCACAGAGCTTCACTCCTTGGGTTTTTAATTTTTATAAGGCAACTTGAGATAATTACGTTAACCATGAGAGATAGCACCACCGATGAATTGATATTATAACACATATCACACTCTCCTCAAGAAAAAAAGAAATAATATATAGTTATATTATAACAATATTACATCAGTTAAGAGAACTCTTTATAGTGATTGATTTTATTATTGAAGAAACCTTATTGTGTAATGTCGTGAAAACAATAGAACAAAAAAAGTTTAATGTTTTCTATTTGATACTCATATTTCCTGCCACCTATTTAACTCGCACTATCTAAATATACGGCTTTATATATAACTACCCTAGTTCATCAACACTGATATTACAACATATGTATCACTGTCGTGATACCGGCAGTATGATCATTTAATCACGCAGATCGTCGGTGACCTTGCTTGAATCTGAACCGCACACTTGACCCGCCTCTTGAACTCCGACTCCATCACCCCCAGAAGAGAAACTTTTTCTCCTTCCGTCGTCCCCATAGCTGCAGATCCTGGAGACGACGCGGGTCGCATCTGACAATAACTACACCCCCCTCCTGTCATCCCCCTCAACTCAGTCTCAAAAGCGTCCCTCTCCTCGTCTCCTCCTCCGTCATCCCCCTCCCCTCCAGATATAGGCAACTACAGCAACTGAGCGAAACAAACAAAGATCTGATCGAGCGTATTCCGGTCTGCTAGCCCCTAATCGTAATCCTCGTCCAAAACGGACCTCTGGCGTTCGGAGCTGAGGCGGCACGCCCGCAACGGAGAGATCCTGGACGGAGCAGCGAGGAGGAGACACCGGGGGGGTGGGGGGCAATTAACGTGTATCGCCTCAACCCCGCACGCCTCTGCTAACGGGAGCCTGCGCACGGTAATGCCTCCTGTCGGTGCAGTGTGCCCGGGGAGGAGGAGTGTGTGAAGGGGAGAGCAGGAATGGTTCGGCGGATGGGAGCGCACACGGTTCTCGCCGCGGCCGCTCCGTGCTGTCTCCAGTCCGCGCGTCTCTCCGTGAAGCCGCCACAGAGCGCACACCGATGCCCGTCCTCTCCTCCGCCGCCCCGCTGCGCCCACCTCCGGGTATTTGTCCGACTCGTCGTTACATAACCCGACGTCTTTGTCGCTTTTGACTGAGTGCGTTTCCCCAGAGCCAGGAGCGGGGACAGACACAGAACCGCCCCGGCAGCAGGAGCAGCGAGCGGCGG